GTTCAAACCCACCAGCCACTCCTCAGAAGGAAGATTGGGCAATCTACTTCCATAGTGATACTGCCTCGGAAACCCAAGGAGGGGTCACTATGAGTCAGGTCTTACTCAATGGCAAACAACAACAACACAAAAGGCAGAAAAGGAGCTCTGGTAGCATAGTGCCTAAGGCATTTGACTGCTAACTAGAAGGCTAGCTGTTCAAACCCACCAGGCACTCTTCAGAAGGAAGGTTGGCCAATCTACTTCCATAGTGATACTGCCTTGGAAACCCAAGGAGAAGTCACTGTGAGTCGGGTCCAACTTGACGGCACATAGCAACAACAACAACAAAGGCAGAAAACATACCACCAAGAAAGAAGACTCACAAATGGAGTGTGTCCTTTGTACCCAAGATCCCTGCACTGAACTTCTTCAGTCCAGGAGAGGGAGATGCAATGGTGAGGCATGGCTAAAGATGGTAGAGAAACTGCAGCAGCAGAGGCAGCAGAATTAAAATACCAGCAAAAAGACAGCACAGTGAGCTTCCTGGCCCATGGAGTGAGAAAACTGAATGCCTTCAGGCAGGAGGCTTGCTGGTGGAGTGGGGTGCTTCTCTGGGCACCTATCAGCAAAGCTGAAAGAGCATTGTAAAACTTGCCTAAGGGAGCAGAGGTGAAGGGGCCGCAGGGCTGAGAGGCTGAGGCCAGAGAGAAGCGTGCCTGAAGCATAGCTGAGAAGAAGCTGTCCTGATTAAAGAACTGTATCTTGAGTTGTTTCCAATACTGAAATTTAACCAGTGACTTCCCTAATAAACCCCATAATTGTGAGTATTGTCTATGAGTTCTGTGTGGTCATTGCAACAAATTATTGAACCTACCAGAGAAAAGAGAGTGCTGTGGGAGGGACAGTTGGTGTAAGAACTGATAAAAGGGTTGGAGGGTGATGGTATGTCTGACATCTACCTCATAGGAATTAGCCTTGAGCTGTTGATGCTAATAATGATTCTCTTTCTCTCTCCTGAAGTTAGAGTTCAGATGACACCTCCCCTATGGTGTTTATGCATGCCCCTTAGGGTATTTAAGGCTGTAAATCTATATAGAAGCAGACTGCCACATCTTTCTCTAGCAGCATGGCTGGTGGGTTCAACCCTACAATGTTTTGTTAGCAGCCAAGAGCTTTAACCGCTGCGCACTAGGTCTCCCTATATATACAATAAAACATGTAAAAAGAAATAGATCATAGAACCCACAAATATGGAGGGGTGGAATATAACAGATATCTGATAATTACTGTAACTAATCATTAAATTTCCCCCATGCTTCCTCACACTCAAGGCAAAAGGAGATATGACAAGTTTTGTAAGGTTTATAATTTGGTAGAAGAGACCTTATTTGTTCAACAGGGAAAGTGACTTGTTGAATGCCTTGGAGCATAAAACTCCAAGGGGAAAATTTAGCATGTTTTTATATCCTACAACTCAGTTATTTTAGTTGTTTTCTCTCTGCTATTATCCCCTAGAGCTGGAAATTGCAGGTAAGAATTCAAAACTCCTACTCTTGTCTTGTCAAAATCCTGTCTTATTATAATCATTTGTGATGGATAAGCCTGAAATTGGAATCATCAAAGGAAAAAGCCAGACTGGGTTAGTTATATCAGAGCTAATCTGGGTTTTAAGTTGGAATTTTGCAAACACAAACACTGTTGCATGATAACAAATGGTGCCTTTTTCTTGTTCTTGTTCAGAAAATGCCAAAAGCC